GAAGAAACAGTTTAATTACATACTGGGAAAGGAGTTGAAGGTCAGTTTGAACATCACAGAAATATTTTTGTCAAGGTTGTCTAATAACCAGGTTCAAGAATGTTGTGACTAACTGTGTAATAATTCAAGAAATGATAAAAGTGTCAATTAATGTACTGTGTAGTTTTAAGTATAAAAATAAAGACTTGCTGAGCTGGGCCAGCAGCAGAGAGCAGAAAGCAGAAAGCAGCAGTAGGAGCAGAAAGAAGGCAGAGAGGCAGAGAAAAAGGAAACAACAAGCTGGACAGCACAGACAGCACAGCAAGCTGAAAAGCCTTTTGATTGCATTCATTCATTCATTCATTCATTTCTTAACCACCGACTCCACATTTCCTCTCGTGTCCCACGACCCCCACGGAGAGCTGGTTTCTCCACACAGTAGACAAAGTAGCTTTCTTCCAAATTTGTTTGCATAGATAATGAGCACATCTAGTGCTGCATATGTTTTCTGAAACATTGCCATTTATATCCAATCAATTCTGGGTGCCTTGTTTTATGCCATTACCTTCAAGTGCAGCTTGGACTTTATATGCCATAGGTTCTTTATCATATGATACCTATTGAAATGGTTGAGCTTTACTCAGTTCCTTTTTGGTACAGTGACTTTGTATATTCTTTCTTGTATCATTGAATATTTTGTTGTTTAGTGCCATCAAGTTGGTTCTAATTCATAGCAACTATGTAGGGTTTCCTAGAATGGCTGATGGATTAGGACTGTTTTCCTTCTTGTCAACAGTTCAGTGCTTTGCCTAGAGCATTAATCCAGGGTCATTTTGTCCATAAAATTCTTCAATACCAAAAATGGAGTCTTGAATTTTGACTTCAGTTCTTTCAGCTTGAGAAATCCTGAATGTGTTCTTCCCTTTTGGTTTTCTAACTCTAGATTTTTGCATATTTCATTATAATATTTGACTTTGTCTTCTTCAGCTGCCCATTGAAAATTTCTGGTCAGTTCTTTTAACATCATCATTTCTTTTCTTTACTTTAGCATCTTTATGAACAAGAATAAGCTTCAGAGTCTCTTCTGACTTCCATTTTGGTAATTTCTCTATTTCTTGAATTTTTAATGCTCTTTACTTTCTTCCTGTATGATATTTTTTATATCATCCCACAATTCTTGTAGTTTTCAGTCATTAGTATCAATTGCATCAAATCTATTTTTGAGATGATCTCTAAATTTAGGTGGGATTTATTCAAGATCAGATTTTGGTTCTCATGGACCTGTTTTCCCTTTCTTCAACTTCAGCCTGAACTTTCACAGAAGCAATTGATAATATGTTCCACAGTTTTCCCCTAACCAAGTTTTGATTGATATTATGGAGCTTTTCTTTTATGTCTTCCTACAGATTGAGATAATTTGATTTTGCATATTTCATTTGGTGAGTTCCATTATACAGTTACCAATGTCTTACACAATTCAATCATGCTACTTCCAGCACCATTTCTATCACCAAGACAATATTTTACAAATATTGATCCTTGATCTTTGTTTCCAAAATTTGCATTCCATTCACTAATAATGATCAATGCATCTTGATACCATGCTTGATCAATTTCACACTGAAAGAAGTTGGTTGAAAATAATAGTACATTGTTGTTGTTGTTATGTGCCATCAAGTCAGCATCAAGTCATAGTGACACTACACACAACAGAATGGAACACTGCCCAGTCCTTCATCAACCTCACAATCATTACTAACCCTTAGTCCATTGCTACCACCACTGTGCTAATCCATCTTGTTGGGGTCGTCTTTTATTCGGAACATCCACATGATATCCTTCTTCAAGGACTGTTTCATCCTGATAATGTTTCTGTAGTATGAGAGATGAAGTCTGGCCATTCTGGTTTCCAGGGAACATTCTGGCTGTACTTTTCCTAACAAAAATTGGTTTGTTCTTTTGTCAGTGCATGGTACTTTCAATATTCTCCTCAAACACCATATCTCAAATGCATCAATTCTTCTATAGTTTTCCATATTCAGTGTCCATCTTTCACATGCATATGAGGTAACTGAAAATACCATGGCTTGCATCAGGTGCACCTTAATCCTCAAACAGACTTCTTTTGAACATTTTAAAATGGTCTTGTGCACCAAATCTTCTAATGCAATATGTCATTTGATTTCTTGACTGCTGCTTTCATGAGTGTTGATGGTTGATCCCAGCAAAATTAAGTCTTTCACAACTTCAATCTCTCTCCATGTATATTGATGCTACTTTTTCCCATTTGCATTGATATAAATCTTGCAATCAAATAAAATCTTGCAAAAGATAATACACAAAGTACTATAACCATACATTGACAGAGAACTTCCATAGTTTCAATTTATATTCTGAAGAGGATATGGAATGAGAAATATCATTGCTGACATTGGATAGATCTTGGCTGAAAGCAAACAATACCAGAGAGATGTTTATCCATGCTTTATTGACTGCATGACAAGCTATAGATAACATGGCAGAGAGTAAGTATTCTGGAACACTTAGTGTTTCATGAGGAACCTGTACATAGATCAAGAAGAAGTTATTTGAACAGGACAAGAAAACACTGAATGGTTTAAAATTAGGAAAGGTGTGTGCCAGCATCGTACACTTTCACCATACTTATTCAATCTGTTTGCTGAGCAAATAATCTGAGAAGCTGGATAATATGAGGGAAAACGTGGCATCAGGATTGGAGGAAGATTTATTAACAACCTGCAATATGCAGATGATACAATCTTGCTTGCTGAAAATGAAAAGAACTTAAAATACTTACTGAGGAAGATGAAACACCACAGCCTTCAGTACATATTGCAACTTAATATAAGGAATACAAAAATCAATTTCATTAGCACTGGCTTCAGTGGTTGGTGCATACATTTAAATAATAGTGGTATTCAGTGTTATTCCTTATAGGTATATGGATACCATCCCATCCCAGACAGTATTGTGCTTCCAAATAGATCTTGAAATACTCTTCTTGACAATGAGTGCAACACCATTACTCTTCACTTTGACATTCATTGCATAGTAAACCATGTGATATTCTGATTTAAAATACCAGTCCAATTAAGCTAGCTAATACTTAGGTTATTGTACTAACATCTTTATGCATTCATTTCATTTTGAAGATTTCAAACTTAACTTAGTTCATACCTTGTATATTTCATGTTCTGATGCTATTTGGAGCAGTTTCTACTCATTTTAAATTGTGTCTTCTTAGCAAATGAGGATCCTGAAAGCTTTGCTCCATTCACATCATTATGGTAAAGTCTTCTTTTAGGAGACATCTCTTCTTCAGTCATGTTTTGAGTGCCTTTCTAACTGAGTGACTCATCTTTTGGCAATATATCTGAAAATATTTTGTTGGTGTTCATAAATTTTTCAGTGGCTAACCATTCAGAAGTGTTCTGCCTCTCCTTCTTCCTAGTGTGTCTCAGTTTTGAAACTCTGCTGAAACCAGTCATCATAGTGACACTGATGTTATTTAAAGACCTGCCAGCATAGCTTTCAGCATCACAGCAACACTTATGCCACTACACTACGAAAATCTGACAGATGAGTGGTGGCATTACATTGTAGATATGGAAATTTACAAAACATAAGAAATTACATCATATTCAAGCTGATTGTATCAGATTAGATCTCATTGTTGAGGTGATCACTACATTTTAACTGTGAAACTACTGAGATTCTGGCCCAGCCAAGTTGGCACAAAATAGCTACCACAATGGTTATTCATCAAGATCGAACACAGATGCAGATATGGGAGTTGGGACCTGGGAGAGATTCCCCTTTCACTTAGGATCCTTCACATCTACTTGTATCCACTGATTTAATGAGGAATAAGAAGCCTTGTGGGATAATGTTTTGACATTTAAAAACTAGTTTCAGAAATATGGTTGTTATTGCTAAATGCTGTTGAGTCAGTTCTGACTCATAGAGACCCTGTATAGATAGGGTTTGCAAGGAGCTTCTGGTGTGTTTGAACCACCAACGCTGTGGTTAGCAGTCCAGTGCTGCTCCTCCACTGCCATATACAAAGATGGTAATCCTAAACTGATTACATTGCCTCTATATTAACAGGGTCCCTAAAATACATTTAGATTAATGGACGGCAGATACAGGCACAATAAATTAGATCAAGGAACATGGTGGAAGAGGAATAATAGTTCCAGATACAGCCAGATCCAAAGGGCCCAAATTCATACTTTGGCTTGTGTAGAACAGAGAAAGAAGAGGTCTATGCCCTTGTGCCTTTCAAGAATTCACCTCATAAACAGTCTAATAGTGCTTGAGTTCTAAAGGATTTGGTTGCAACCCCAAATCCACATTTAACATCACCACTACATCCATATTCTTTTCACTGAGTGATCAAGTAGCAAACAAAAAAAAAAGAGTGCATTATGATTATCCCTTCAGAAAACAATTAGGAGATAAGTAAAATGATGAAATGAATTTCTATAACTAAACACAGAATAAATCATGAAGTAGTGCTTGTGTCAAATGTACTGAATGTCTTATAGTGGCAGGAACCTTAGGACCAGATGGAAAAAGCACTGTTGCACAGCTATGGGGCTGCTGACTGAAATGACATAGACAGAATAGAATTATATTAATTTACTAACTCTCAAAGGACATATTGTGGAATCACATGCCTCATATTCCCCAAATATAGATTGGAAGGAGGATATACTAGGAATTAATATTCTTGTGTGAGATGAGGGAAAGGCATGCCCTCTGCATGTAACACTTGCAGAAAAAAAGAAATTCTAGTATTGTATAGAAAATAGTACACGGTTTGTTTTTTAATCCTAGATCTACTTTACATATTTCTTTCCTACAAATGAAAACTGTTGCCTTACATGCATTGTGGATTTCATGTAGTTTTGCTGGTTTTTAATCTTTGCTCTTGGTAAGAGCTTCATTGTAAAGTTGAGGCTGATGTGTTCATGTGTATGTTTGCATTTAATACATACATGTCTTTCTAGCAGAATCTTCCACAAAAAGAGAAGAGATGTCTTCATCAACTCCTGCTTCATTCTTTGCAATACAAGTGTATGCTCCAGTATCTTCATAACGCACATTGCTTATGTGAACCTCACTGCCATTTGCTGAAAACAGAAGGCAAATGCATTTTGTTAGCCACAAGTTCAGTTTTGGTACTGTTTACACAGTTTCTGTTTACACAGTCAGACAGTTTTCTTAGCTTGTCCCAATCAAAGTGTTTTCTTTCTTACTTCCATGATTTGCAGACATGCCAAATTATTCTAGAAGCATTCATGTGTTTTGTAACTTGTGCTGCTATCATTCTTTTATAGAAAGCTCCAATATTATATATCAAATGCACATTTATTTCCATTTCCTACTTCTTATTTGATATATACGAGTCCTGGTGGTACTATGGGATAGGCATTGGACCACCAGGTTGGACTGAATCACAGGGTGGGTGGTTCAAACTCACTAGCCACTTCTCATAAACCCTATACGGGGCCATTATGAGTCAGAACTGACTCAATGGCACTTAACAACAACACCATTTTATATATAAAAAATGTTAATAATGAAAACTATAACTTTGCCATATTTTCATTTATAACATTCAAAATTCAGTTTGTCCTAAGTTTTCATGTGAATTTAAATAGTATCGATATGGTTTACTTGAAGGGGAGTATATGTGAAAAATATATTTTCTTAAATAAATTAAATAAATTCATAATACAAGGATAATAATATGACCGTTAGTCAAGCTTATTACTGTTGTCCTGGTGTGGGACTGTAAGATAAGCACTGAACTATAAACCAAAATGTTGGTGGTTCAAACCCACCAGTTGCTCCTCAGAAAACCTGCTCAGGGTCACTGAGTCAGAACAGACTCAATGGTACTTAACAACAGCAATGACAAATGCTGTATTATTTAGAAAGGAAATGGGGTGAGCCTATGCAGCTATCTAGTTGGGAGTGATGCACAGCTGAGAGTAAAGCCTGTTGTTGATAAGTATCGTAGAGTCATTTTCAACACATTGTTGTTGTTGTTGTTATGTGCCATGGAGTCGATTCCAACTCATAGCAACCATGTACAGGGTTTTCGAGGCTGTAAATCTTTACAGGAGCAGAAAGCCTCATCTTTCTCCCACAGAACAGCTGGTAGTTTTGAACTGCTGACCTTGTGGTTCTCAGCCCAATTCATAACCACTACACTACCAGAGCTCCTTTTCAACAGATAGCAACCCTGTATAAGGTCTCTGAAGCGCAAATGGTGAGATTGAACCGCCGACCTCATGGCTCAAACAGACATTGCAGTCCAGTTCTTTAAACCACAAAACCACACCAATCACATTAAATTCTAGTTTATATTATCACAAGTTGTATAATCATAAAGTTGTATTGTATTAAAAAATAAGAATGGTCAATTTGTACTGTTATCTAGTTGGGAATGCTGGACATCCAATACAATTTTTGATAAAGGAATTTTTGATAAAGGAAACAATTTTTGATAAAGGAAATAAGTGTAAATTGCTACAATTTGATGAACTTGACCTTTACTTATGGACATAATAGCTCAAAATACCAACTAAAAGGTCAGAAGTCTTCACATCAAGGATCAATCCTATCCCGTCTTTACACAGGGTTGATAGGGGTGGGAAACAGTCATTTGCTACCTAAAATGGGTGGGCTATAAAGACATGAAGTAGCTGGCATACAAGTTTTCAAGAGGGAATTTACTTTCAGAGTGTGCAGGGGAGGTAGAATCCCCACCAAATCACTTTCATCTTGTCTAGATGGGTCTGGTAAAAGCAGATGGGGATAAGATTCTTATGATTCAATAGTGAATATTTTTTATCATGATTAATTGCAACTATCTCAACTGTAAAGGCAGAAGTTTTGTAACAAATAGGGGGGAATAGTTAACCTTACAGTCCAGGAGCAGAGGACCCTAGGACCATCAAGGGAGAAGAGCACAAGCAGAATATGGGATCACAGGGTCAGCAGTTTGAAACTACCAGCTGTTCCGAGGGAGAAAGATGAGGCGTTCTGCTCCCGTAAAGATTTACAGCCTCGGAAACCCTGTATAGGGTCGCTATGAGTCAGAACCGATTCCACAGCACATAACAACAAACAACAACTGGAGAAGCAGTGACACCAGAGTTGGAGGCAGAGATGAGAACATGGAGAGATAGAGCAGCTGAAGACTCAAGACTCATGGAAACAGAAAGACTGTGTGCTGGTGGCCAGGAAGCAGGCTTGCAGAATGTACCCTTAGGTTGTTTAAATTACTATATATTCCTGAGTGTTTTTGTGCACATTCTGTCAAGCTCATCTGCCCCCCTGCAAAAAAAAAAAAAAAGAAGAAACAAAATAGAACAGTATTCATGACAGATAAGAACTAGAGAAAATGTGGCTATTTTTGGAGAGACAGAGACAAGGGTTAAAATTTTATGGGGAATAGACTATTAGACCAAGTTAGGTGTAAATTATAATGAGGCATGATGCCATTCTAAACAACCATTGTGAGATATGGAGACATTGGTGTTTAGGGAAGAGGACTATTAATTAAAATCACTTGAATCACTTTCTCAATTTTCAAATGCTTACTGCCTACCCCTATCCCTCAGTCTTTTTTTTTTTTAGATTCACTAGTATAGGACTCCTGGTATGGCGATATAGGATCAGCACTGGATTTCGAACCACAAGGTTGGCAGTTCAAACTCACAAGCTGCTTGTTGGAAACCCTGTACAAGATCACTATGAGTCAGAACTGACTCAAAGGCACTTAACAACAATAACAAATATAAAATAAGGATTGTCAAGCTTGTCCTATAAAAAGTTAAATAGTACTTAGTTCAGGTTTCTAGACAGCCTCTGTAGTGACTACTTAACTCTACTGAAGTAGTGTGAAAACAGTCATATTGCTCTTCTTGTTAAGTGCTGTCCAGTCAGTTCTGACAGAACTACTAATCTTCCTTGATATTTCTTCTACTTGACTTGAACAGTCAGATACTCATGTCTTACCTCATTTTTCATTGAAATTTTTACTCCTTGTTTGATGTTTCCCACCATAATAACTTCCTAACTCTATGTGACCTTGTTCCTTAAATCATAAAATAAATCAAAGTTATCATAACATAATTACAAAGCATCCTCTTCCCATCTACTTCTTTGCCTACATTTCTTCTCAAAGGAGATTTTTTTTTTTTTCGTTTTCAGACAAATAATCCCTCCTCTCTTGTTGTTTTCTATAACTCTTTCATCCTTTACCCCTCTCCAGTATCTACCAACACTTCCTCTCCACTGATATTTCCTAGAGTTCCTAAGTTTTCCAAAAAGAAAGAAATATCTCTGTTAACCCTAATCCCCTGAATCAATGGTCAATACTTCTTTTTCATTTTTTAAAAAATAGAAAATGAAAAAATTATTAAATAAAATCAAAACAAAGTATTTTTTTTAAAAGTCTGGAATGTGATTTTTGTATTTATTGCTGTCTTTTTATTTCTCAATCCACAGAATACTGATTGTTAGTAATGCTATTCTTCCAAATGTCACAATGGTGCACTAATGACCTGAGCTGTGAACACATCTCAAAAACTTCCTTAGTATCATTAAGCATCTGAAATGGTTGGTCATTTTCCCTATGTTTAAAATATATATTCTTTAGTCACAGCATTATTACCGGTTCTCCTTACAATTTGCTGAATTTTAGTGTTTTTGTATTAATTACCTTCACTTTCCTGCTAATAAGTTGTTAGTGCTCAGTCATGTTAATTCGTGTATTTTGTCTGTATGCACAAATATATGGCTCAGTTTATTTAGCACAAATGCTAAAAAAGATCTGACAAATGACTGCCTATTTAAACAACCACAAACCAAAATAATAATAATAATAATAAAAGAAAAACAATTGATGTGGAATCAATTCCAACTCATGGTAACCCGTGTATTACAGAGCAGGATTGATCTCTGTAGGTTTTCTTGGCTTTTCTTCAAGAGACTTTTCAATCACAGAGCCATTGAGTGAATTCAAGGTTTGTCTACCTTTTGGTTAGTTGCTAAGCACAAACTATTTATACTAGGCAGAGAAAAGAAGCATAATGCCTGGTAACATATAATTATATACAAGCTAATATTTCATATAAGAAAAATATGACTTGCTTGTATAATATGTTTTACCACTGTTAAATGAGCACAAAATAACAGAAGCAGATGTTACTTAACTATTCTTCACTATAATTTCTGTTCATCAGAACAATCTTCTTCTTAGATTCTAAACACGATTATGCAACCATTGAAAATAAATTTATAAATTTTGGAGGTGCTGTAGGATAAGGAAGCCCTGGGCTTTTAATCACACAGTTGGTGATTCAAACCCACCAGCCACTCCTTGGAAATCCCATACATAATCACCATGAGTCAAAACTGACTTAATAACACTTAACAACAATAATAACAACTTAAATTGATTAAGGAGTCCTGGTGCAGAGCTGTAGGATAAGGACCGGACTTATAACTGCAAGGTCAAGGGTTTCTGCTCCTCAGGAACCCTATGTAGGGTTACTATGAGTCAGAATCAATTCTATTACTCTGAACAACAATGACAACTTAAATTAATATAGTTACTTATAGGATTAAAGTCATAATGTTCAAGAAAACTTTCACAAACATGTCTCCTTGACTTACAAAAATAAAATTCTTGAAAAGCTTTTTAAAAAGGTATACTGGTTAAACATATGAATCATTAAAATGGAATAACAGAGGAAACTTTTGCTAACAGGATTAACAATGAAAATATATTTATTTATATCAGTATGACTTGAAGATATTTAAAGGTAAAGAGTAAGGAATATAAGGTCCATGCAACAGATAGTTCACAAAGGATAACTTTATCTGGGCTACTTTTTAAATTGGAAACAATTGTTCTGAATCGGCTGGGAACTGACTTGATGGCACTAACAACAACAACATGGATAGATAGATAGATAGATAAATATAGATATAGACTCTTGGTGTGGCAATGTGATAAAGCACTGGACCCTAAGGTCAGTTTGAGCCAAAAAGTCTGTGGTTCAAACTTACCAACTGCTACTCAGAAAACCTATATAGGGTTGCTATGAGTCGGAATTGAGTCCATGGCACTTAGCAACAACAAATATATATATTCAAATATGTTATAATATAGTTTATACATATTGTAATATAAACATATAAATATATTATAACATATGAGAATATATTTTACCATATAATACAAATAGTACCATCCATATATTATATGAAATTGCTCTTGCACTATCTATACTATCAGTCTTTATAAAACCATGAGCTTTGGTTTGTCATTTTAAACATATATATGATTATTCTCATCTGCATAAACATTCTCATCTGAATGATGTCCACACATTAGATACTAGAATATATTGAACATATTATATATTGTGATGCATCATTTCATAACTTGAAACAGAATACAGATCTGAAACTTAACAGAATTTTGGTTTTATCCTCTTTATTTACAAAGTATGATATAAATTCATTCACAAAAAGTTTATATACTATAGAATCCCTCCATTATGCATATTTTAATATATTATTGAAACACTGAAGATTTAAACATTCAGATATATATTTTTATAAAGACATTCAATTATCCTGTCAGCATATCTGCTATAATTCATGGACCAATATTTAAGTGTTACATAATTTAATATTTTACTTATCACAAATATAATGACATAATTAGTCATCATGACAAGATTATTATTTAAAATAATAAGAGTATGTAATGGTTCTATTTCAAATATACTGTCTTAGGTATGACAATATACAATTTTTTTGATTTTCTTGCCATTCTGTTGCCACTAATATGTATTCACCTTTTTACCAAATAATGTAAAAATATGTTATACATTTAGTAAAATGTCTTTACATGGTCATTTAAAAGGAAAAAAAAAAGTGTATGTACAAGGTACCTTGAAGTGTGAGTTGCTTGGATAGCTTTGGTGTGATATCAATTCCATTCTTCAGCCAGCCAAGTTGAGGATTTGGTATGCCCTCTGCATGGCACCTAAGACTTGCAGTTACCCCAGGTTCTCTAGCTTGACTTTCTGGATACACCCGGATAACTGGAGGAACTGAAGAAAGGCATGACAAAGAAAGTAAACATTTACCATATTTTCCAAATTTTTTCCAAACCAAAAGTACAGAACTATGAGAAAGTAATTAATAATGCATATATATAACTCACTGTGGAATCCTGATATGGCCCTGTAGGATAAGTATTGGACTGCTAACTACAAGGTCAGTAGCTCAAACCAATCAGCCATTCCTAAGAAACCCTGTACAGGGTAATCATGATTGCAATTAACAACAACAACAACAACAACATATACAGTTGATTTAAACTCATATAGACTAATAGAACCCAGTTGAACTGCTCTATGGGGTTTCCAAGACTATAAATCTTTATGCAAGCAGACAGCCTCATCTTTTTCTTGCTGAGCAGTTGATTAGTTTGAACTACTGACCTTGAGTTCTTGTTTATGTATATATTGTTGTTGTTGTTTTATTTATATATACACATGAGCAATCCTGTATAGGGTTTCTGAGGAGAAGCTGGTGAGTTTCAACTGCTGACTTTACAGTTCAAACTGATCTTGTGGCTTATCCTATGGCCCCATACCAGGAGAGAGATATGTATATATGGAGCTCTGGTAGCGTAGTTGTTATGAATCGGGCTGCTAACCTCAAGGTCAGCAGATTGAAACCACCAGCCATTCCAATGGAGAAAGATGAGGCTTTCTGCTCCCGTAAAGATTTACAGCCTCAGAAACTCTGTGCAGGGTCGCTGTGAGTCGGAACCAACTCCATGGCACATAACAACAACAACAACTATATATATATATATATATATTATATATATATATATTGACAATATCTAAATAGAGAGAAATTTTAAAAATAGATAATGTTAACTTGATAATCAAATAATTGAGATAAAAAATTTACTAACAGCAGTTTTGAAATGCAGAATAAAGAATCAATTAACTGGAAGATAGATGAATTCAAATTATCCAGTCTGTGAAGTAGAAAGAAAAAGACATGAAGAAACATTTATAAAACCTAGTAGATTTGTGGGGTAAGAACAAAAGTATGAAACCTACTTGTAACAAGAGGTCTGAAAAAAGAGGAAAGAAAAGGATAGAAAAAAATATTTAAAAACGATATGGCCAAAAATGTACAAATTTACTCAAAGGCACAAATCTACACATTCAAAAGCATTACAAAGTCTAAGTAGGTTAAATGCAAAGAGATGCAAATTGAGAAATATTATAAAGAAACAAAGAAGGAGAGAAGTGATTCATCACAAAAGATGACTTCTCAATATGATTGTTGTTGTTTCGTGCCGTGGAGTCGGTTCCGACCAATAGATTATCAGCCATTTTATCACCATAGGGGAATGGGATAGATTATATAAAAACTACAAGAAAAAAATAAAAACTGTCAATCAAGATTTCAATAACTGGCAAAACTAACCTTCAAAAATTAAAGAGAAAGTCTAAGACAAACTGACAGAGTAAGTGACCTCTCTGAGCTGATTCTCTTCAACAAAGACATGAAAGATCAAATGAGGAGCTAAAGATGGTGATCCTGGAATGCCATGTATCAGAGGACAGGAGAGAAAAGGGAATTGAGTAATGGAAGAGGAAGCTGAACAGGAGTAGTGAGAGAGAAGAAAAACAGGCAGACTGTGGGCTAGAATACAGCAGTGCTGCAATATCGAACTTTTGCGAGCTTCTGTTGATACACCCTCCTGTGAGTACAGGATGCAGATTGAAGTTGACAGCTATGGAGTATAATTCCCCCTTGTTCCTGTGCTCTCTGGCTAGCCAGTTCCCAAACCAAGCCAGTGGCCAATGGCACATCCTAACGTACAACGTCTTCTCTAACTGGTGTTGGAAACCTGGCATAGCATCCCTGCTTCTGGAGGTGAATGAACCTACCAGGAAGTATGCTACAGAGTAAACAGAGGACTCTGGTCATATTTCCTGTCTCTACCACATCCAGCAAAAGAAAGGTGGTGAGTTCCTGAGAATACACTAATATACAATCATAAACAAAATATAAATTTGACACCACAATGGCTTGAAAAGAAAACAGACAATTTCAGCGTACACAAAGAAAAAATCTGAGTGCCTCAAACAAGCAACCAAAATATAAAATCAGAAAATACAATATATAAAATATAAAAATACAGAAAATAGAAGTGGTATCAGAAATAACTGATTAAAATTTAAAGGAATGCTAATTAGGCAGCTTCCATAGATTGTGATAAAGGTCAATAAAACTACAGATTAAAATAAGGAATTGTAGACAAAATCATGGCAAATTTCAGGAAACAAAATGACAAAACAATATATAAAAAAAGGGGGGGGAATCATACAAAAACAGAAGATTGACAGTAAGACTTCAGTACACTGAAAGGTCAAATAATATAAAGGTCAAATAATATAAAGGTCAAATAAATAATATAATATAATGGTCACAAATGGAAAGTCAAATCATTGAGCTTCAATGGAAAGTTAAATCATTGAGCTTCAAGGAAAATATCTCAATAATTGATTACTAGAGGAACAATCAGAGGGAAAACATTCACAGCATAAGATTTATGTGGAACACTAGCAAGAAGTGTTCTGGTGTTGGATAAGCACTTGATCCCAAGTTTGGTTTGAACAGCAAGGTTGATGATTCAAATTTACCAGCTGTTCCTCGGAATTCCTATTTAGGGTTACTGTGAGTCTGAACTGATTTGATGGTACTTTATTAACAACATCAAGCAGAATAAAATACATGTAATAGGAATTCCAGAATTACTGTTGTTATGTGCCACGGAGTCGGTTCCAACTCATAGCGACCCTGTATAGGGTTTCTGAGGCTGGAAATCTTTGCAGGAGCAGAAAGCCTCATCTTTCTTCCATGGAACAGCTGGTAGTTTCAAACTGCTGACCCTGAGGATAGCAGCCTGATTCGTAACCACTACACTACCAGAGGAAGAGAACATTGTCCAAGAGTTGTTGGCAGACACCTTTCCTAAAATGAAAGATGAGAAGATAACCAATCAAGAAGTTGAATGAACACCAAGAATGATAGACCTGTAAAAGGAAAATACCAAGATATATTATAATCAAACTTTTTAAAACCAAAGACAAGCAAAATAATCCTGAGAGTATCTAAGGAAAAATAAAAACTTACTCACAAAGGAAAAGAAATAAGACTAAATTCTGATCTCTCAGCAGAAACCATGGAGGCAAGAAGACAATGAAATGGCATATATAAAATTCTATGAGAAAAAAAAAAAAAATTGCTAACCAAGAATCATATATATGGCAAAACTATCCATCAAATATGACAGTGAAATTAGGTAATTTTCAGTTAAACAGAAGTTAAAAGCATTTGTAAAAATCAGATCAAACTTAAAAAACATACTAAAGTGAATTATTTGGACAGGGAGTAACATACATTACAATGTCACCTAGATTCAACTCAGACACAGAAACATAAAAAGTAAAACAGATCTCTAAAACTAAAAACAAGAACCAGAGATGCAGCTACAATTAAAAAAAAAAAATTTTTTTTAAATCACAAAGTTAAAAGAGGGAATAATATAGTTACAGAACTTCCAAATTAACTTGAGGAAATCATGTTAATTTGAAGGGAAAAAAAAATCTTATAGTAACCGTAGTGGTTATGAGTTAGGCTGCTAACCTCCTCAAGGTCAGCAGTTCGAAACTACCAGCTGTTCTATGGGAGAAACGTGAAGCTTTCTGCTCACATAAAGACTGACAACCTTGATAACCCTATGCAGGGTGTCTTTGAGTCAGAACCAACTCCATAGCACATTACCAAGTATAACCCTAAAACCTAGAACTAGCCTTACTACTAGTCCTAGCCCAATTCGTAACATTACCTTTGTTTAACAATATATGAAGTCATAGGCCTAGTTTAGATAAAGCCATAATTCTGACTTTAACCCTCATTCCTTACTTCTACCCACAAATCCCCCCACCAAATAATTAAGAAGATATTAGGCCATTATCAGCAAAACAAAAGCTGAGAAATTGAATTTTTAGTATGCAAACCCTACCAGAAATGCTGAAGTATATCCATTAGGCTTAAATAAAAACGATCCTAAAAAGTTACCTGAAATCCGGTGAAGATATAAAACATTGATAGAAATAATTCTACTGGGAAGTATAAAATTCATTATTGATTCTGTACTTCTGGGTTGCATCACTTCTTTTCTACCTATTTTATTTAATGTATTTGTAACCCTTGGAACATATAGAGGGGCTTCAAAAAGTTCTTGGAAAATG